ATGTGTGTGTAATATTTTGTAAGAAGTGGTTGTCCTTTCATCTCCTGGGTCAAAGAATAAGTAAACAGTGAAGATCTGTGTGATTACTAAAAATAAGTAAATACAAACAAATTTATTATTCTTAACGTATTTCATGTGAACGCTGAGGTGAGGCATGGGAAGAAGCGTTTTACATCAGAATTAGTTAGGACTCTCGCTTGACCATCGTCCGGGGTTCGACCTCCTGCAGACGCACACCTATTATCTGTGGTCGGCCTGCAGAATTTGGGCTAGCGATATCACATGCTGAAAATTCCATACCTGCATCGAAAAATACAGTGGAATCAAGCTGTAACCAAAAATCAAAAAATATATATCATGTGTTAAGCTTGTTTTGTGTAATGAGAAGGAAGATTTCAACGTTTTCCTAACCTTCATTTTTCACCCAACATTTATCTTCTTTCTTTTCATGCACTCCGATTTGATTGGTCGAATAATACAATCTTCCTACTTATATGTTTACATATCCGACTTCACCGTCGTCCGCACTCAACCAATTAGAGATCTGAAACCGAGCAGCCTGAGGTAGAAGTCACCGAAAATAATTTTCAATTCGAATGTTCCTTATGCAGAATATCAAAACAGAACTTCTCAATTAAACAAATTAAATATATTTAGACACATCTTGAATGAAGCATGCTTATGGCTATGAAAACTCAGTCACACATACACATTTATGTTGTATCCAGGATTGAATCAGAATGTAAAGAATACAGAATTAACACTATACATGAATTAAGTTCACACGTGTCATGATTTCCACACATCACGAAATAACACACCGACAACAGACTAAATCTAGATGATCTCCAATCAGAAATTCCGTCGTTGTGAGCATGTCAATATAACAGTGTGTATATAAACAGAAAGACACTGCCAGCATTTACGCTTCTCCTTTGAGTATTCATTGCAATGAATCTGATCATACTTCTCATCTGTCTGTATCATGTGAATTCTGAGATAATCAAGATTCCTTTGCATCCCGTGACTGGAATTAAGTCAATTCTAAATCCGTATTGGAAGTTCTTGAGGGGAATACAGCGAAGCTGGATGAAATTATGGAGTGGGGGAGAAACACCAAAATCACAACTGTATAACTTTCATAATGTAAGTTGATCTTCACTTATAAATTTATTGAGAAATGAACAAAAAGCTTTACAAAGATATCTATTCGGAGATTTAATCTACATAAGCTGTACAACACGTTTTGTACAGAAGTTCACACGGCTACAACTATCATTCAATTCAGCCAAAGAGTATAAAGGACACAATAATTATAAACTTTATAAGGAAGTTAGAAGGTGTGAATACAGATCACAAGAGGCTTAGAAACAAAATAACACAGGACTAGAAAATAACTCAGTAATATGCTAAATGGATTTGGCGAGTTCAGGTGTGAACGAGATGGTTAAAGAAACAAACTGAAGTAAGAGTATTAATAGTTGAAGAAAACTATTGGGTTCTTTGCGTCATAAGTAAATAAATAGTACTATCTCCCTTGGATAGCAAAATAAAAGTATTCTATGATAGACTTCGACTCTCCCACAGTGTTTAAATTATGAACACTTATCACACTTCACTAAGCCGCTAGCACCAATCAAGTGTTCCGAGTGGTATTTCTAGTTAAATCGAAATTTAAGTGGTTTTTAAATAAATATCATTTCAGAGAAGAACATATCTACCAAATGCAAAAGGAGTTTGTCAAAGCCTTATAAAATTGTGTGATATTATCTTTTGATGTACACCACTTCATCACGATATCAGAAACATTCAGGTTTTCAGAATCTTATGTTTATTATATCTTTTTAAGATTGAATACTATGGAGAAATACAAGTGGGAACGCCACCACAAACGTTTCGTGTAATGTTCGACACAGGATCAACCGACAGCTGGTTTGCCTCAAGAAAATGTTGGTTTCTTGATATTCCGTGTTGGTTCATTCGATTTTACGACAGTTCGAAATCATCCACCTACAAGCCAAATGGTACTGAATTTCATGTTTATTACCTGACTAGCAGTTACTCTGGATTTTGGAGCATGGATACAATGCAGGTATTGTGCTTTTATAACTTGAAGCGACAACGGTTTTAGCTAAACTCCTTAGTTATTCGTAATCAGGCGTTTGGGGAAGTAACAAATGTGTTTTCCTTAGTCTTCTCTGCTGACGAATGTGATGGAATCATTGGTATGCAAATAAGAAATGTGTCGAGATATGGGAACACTCCATTCTTCCCGAATCTACTTTCTCAATTCAAGGATATAGATCCAGTAATTTCTTTCTATCTGAGCCGGTGGGTTCTTGTTTACGATGCAACAATAATACTATTGCTGTATATGGCTGATATTCCAGTGGTTTACTATTACGTTTTCCAATGATTTCTGACTCAATATTTACTTATTTGGCATACAGATTCACTGAAACTTAATTAAGTTTAAGTGGCTTTTAATATATGCTTAACATAAATCTCCCCCATAATATTTAAGTGGAATACATCAGAAAGGAAATGATTTGAGACAATCATAAGATTTCATTATTAACAAACACTTTCTGCCTACAAATTTTGGACTGAATTTAAAGAAATGAAATATGTGACCGAAGGTATATATAAACTAAAGTACTTGGCTAGTAATTCACTTACATTGTCCTTTAGATGGTTATGACAGACAGAGTCTTCAGCTGAACTTTCATTTACAGCTTCAGTACCCTTGGAATATGAAGTGTTGGAGACAATCATTAAATTCTGCGATTTCATTCAAATTCATAAATAACGTTTATTCTGATTGCTATTCACCTATTTGCAGAAACACTAAGTTGAACACGTTGCTAGCCTTTTTAGTAATTCCTCAAATTCGTGTCTGATATTTTGTAGGGAAAACGGTCTTGCTGGTGGAGAGATGGTGATTGGTGGTGTCAATCCTGAATATTTTATTGGAGATTTCGAAAACTTGCCTGTCATTTATAAAGACAGTTGGACTGTTATACTCAAAAGGTAGTCAATTGATGCTTGCATGATTTCATGGGCAAAGATATTATTTAAAGTAATTATTTCCTTTTATGAATTTCGACAACACAATAAGAAGACGTAGTTTATCTGAAACGTGTAATGTATTGGTGCAACACATTTCCGACATTCTGATCACACACGTACTTGTCATACACAGATTTGATAGAAGGCAAGAAGGCACGAATAATTACAATACAGGTCAGATTGTGTACAGGTCAAGGTCACAAACAGTGGGTAGGGAGACGCAAAGATGTGGGTAAGAAAGAGAAAAAGAGAAAAGCAAAGCAAAGAAGGGATTGAAAATATTATGAAGTAAATTGATCCTTGGTTCTAAATTGGATTACCAAGGCAGGTTTAAGGTCATAACAAATAACTTTTGGACACATAAATCTTCTTATGGCTAAGGCTTCAACGAATTTAAGTACGTGGCCCAACCAGCCATAAAAAGAACCAAGGACCAATTTACTTCATAATATTTTCAATCCCTTCTTTGCTTTGCTTTTCTCTTTTTCTCTTTCTTACCCACATCTTTGCGTCTCCCTACCCACTGTTTGTGACCTTGACCTGTACACAATCTGACCTGTATTGTAATTATTCGTGCCTTCTTGCCTTCTATAAAAACTGTGTATGACAAGTACGTGTGTGATCAGAATGTCGGAAATGTGTTGCACCAATACATTACACGTTTCAGATAAACTACGTCTTCTTATTGTGCTGTCGAAAGGATATCAATTTTTCACGTGAACACTAAGGTCACAGAAAATGTGGAGTGGTTGTCACAGTTATGTCTTCTAATCAAAGTATATGTAATACACGCAACAATTCCCAATTTTTCCAGTAATAAAAGTGATACATATAGAAAATCAAAACAAATGATTCAGCGAAGAGACTCCTTTCAACGAATTTATCATCAAGCTGTACAATCGTATATATATGGTTTTTAAGAAGTTATATCCGGTGAAGGAATTGAAACATAGGTGTGAATGCATAAAATAATAATATGAAATGCAATTAAAACTAAAATGTTTGTGATTATAATCGTAGTTAAATGTCAAGTGGCAAAGCAAATTAATGTCATATATAGAATAATTCATAGGATGGATAGAACTTGAAAAAGGTGTGCAATTATAAGATCAGTAGACAAATCGAATAAAATAAAAACGTTACGAAATATTGTGTGGAATTTAATAGCATAGAATTTATATGTTACAATGGGAATTTTCCATGATTTAAAAGTCATACACTCAAGTAAGAGTCTATTGGATGAGATATGCCTTGATAATTCCAGATGACAAATTAGTGGACAGTTATTCTGCATCCCTAATTTATTATAGTTGGTTTGAACCTAAAATACTCTCTTCTAGTACAAATAAACCAGTCATTTGACCACCATCACCTCAACACATGAAAACCGATTCCCCTTCTACCAAACCACATCATATATGCTGACTATCCATTTTTACGTGCGATAAACACACAGATGCTGGCGTGACTACTTACTGGCCAACTTTCACTGAGTTATCGAAGAAAGTGTCATCTGTTTGATTTTAATCTGTTGACAGCCTGAGTGGTTTATCTGGAAACGAATGCCATTTGAAATGGTGATAGTGTGTAGTCAAGTTGCCTTGAGCAATCTCAAGTAGAAACCTTTATGGTGTGCGTAATTTCAGCATGGTTTGTATGTGTTCACGAGTATTCCAGTGAACAAAGTCATTAGAATGATTTAGTGAAGGCTGTTATTGGGTGAAAGTGCAATAAATTCTGATGAGATCTGAAAGTTAATAAACAGACAGGGATTTGTGTATTCGTGTGGAGATGACTGAGGAGAACTAAGTATGCCCATTGCGTCTGATTATTAGGATGAGTGGTTTTGTGATTGGATTAATTTATATCAATACACTCTTCACTGCATAGACTGGTTAATGCTTCAGTTGTGTTTGTTTTACCATGTTCAGCATGAAGATAAATGGAGTAGAATATTGCAAAGAAAGGTGCGTTGCTTATATATCTACTGGCACATCTTTGATACTGGGATCGAATGAAACGGTGAAAACGATTAATTCTAGACTTGGGGCCGAGCCGGTCGGGGATGATGAGTATGGATTAAACTGTAATGATATTAACCTGCTCCCTCCTATTGAGTTTGTCTTCAAGAAGAGGAGCTATGTACTTGAGGCGAAGAACTATGTGCTTAAGGTAAGTAAGAGAATTCGGTTGAACGTTGTGATTTTCTTGTGATCGGCACCTCGATGGGAATTTCCTCATCAATGCCAATGATTTGCATTTAAGAAATGGCAACACATTTTAAAATACAGGTGAATTTCATCGTTTTTGAAATGGCCTAAGTAAGGAAAGAGATCTCTTTTCGTAACCTCACTTCGAGTCTGAACAGTTATTTAGGGTTTATATATACAGTGCTATCTGACAACAAAGGTGAGATCCATCGACACGACAATGTGCGAAAAATTATGATTAATCGAGAGGGTTGATTGCCAATTACTTATGTAATGATTAGTAGTTACTTGGAAATGACATATAAGAGCCAGAGATCGGTGCATTGAAAGTGAGTAACAAAAAATATTAAAAAATGTACAAATACTGCATAAAGTTCTTCACACAACAAAATTGTCACTAAAGACACTTCAGTAAAGGAGGCTGGATAAAAACGTGTTTGAATACAAAGTCCCGGTTTTTCTTAGTGGATTCCAGAAGCCTTGGTTACATGAAATGTAGGCGAAATCCAGTCGAACTGCCTGGTCCTATTTCACATATCACTTTGAAGTAACTCTGTTCTGATGCTACGTGCCAAGAAGTAACATCGTGCTCCAGAATTGAGTCGTTGTTTGTCCTGTATTACCTTATTCCTCAGACTACCATGCTGGTAAGTATTCATCGGCCTACTTACACAATGTCCTGTTAGTACAGTCCACGTAGTTGACTCCATAGGAGACATGAAGCTAGTGAATTGACATTGAAGTCACATAAACCAACAACTTGTCTTTGCGAATTTGGTGAGCAAGTGCAGGTGAGGTGAAATAAGTGGCAAAGAAAGTTCTCGAAATGCTGTCAACAGAAGACTTCAGAGAATTTCACTGAATTTATTTCCCTGTCTCTTCTTCAGTTTTGTGGAATGCTGTTCCTTAGTTTCATTTCTTCCTCTCTTACATCGGCAAGTGTCATCCAGCTCCACGATTATCATTTATTCCACACAGAAATAATCATCAATTCTTTGCAAAATGTTGGTTTCAGCTTCTAAACAGACAAATTTAGCCGGAAAGTTGGTGAATTTCCTCATTTCCCATGGTTGTTCTAATTTTCATTTTCGAGATTTTGAATCAATGAGATTCATAAAATTCGTTTCATTTTCGCTTTCAGGAAGTCAACTGGTTAAACACAAAGTGTACATCACCATTCGCTAGTAACGATCTAGTTCACCCTGGAGTTTGGCTTCTTGGTGATGTATTTATGAGGAAGTTCTACACTGTATTCGATTTTGGTGAGAAGACGATTTGGTTAGCTGATGCTAACGATGGCTGAATTTCACTATAATGAAACCAGTTAATAACTGATCATAAATAAAGACAAAACAATAATAAGACGTAATTTATCTGACTTATGAAATGTATTTGCGCAACACATTTTGAACAATCTGATTCAGCACACACAGACTTGTCATAGGAATATATATGAAATTAATAAAGAATTAATAGGTGACGTCAAGTTAAAAGGACATATTCAAGGTCAAAATAACAATGAAGATCACTAAACCAAATAACAGAGGTAATAGCACATCTGCTATGGTTTCAAAACAAAGCTAACCAAAGAAGATTTAGTGTGATAACGAATTGTTTTTCAACGCATATTTGTACGAATCATGTTCCTCCAAGTCCTTTTAGTAACTGCAGAAATATCGTAAATGTAGTTCCGGGTTTGAAATTGCATATGTAAGATTAGAGTGACTATGCCGAAATAAATTTCACTGAACATTAAGGTGGCTTCATCATTGATCTGTGCACAAATCAATCTAGAATGGTGAAAAAATTAACTGCGGAACGCACTTGTTTAGAACCAGTGCATGATAACTAATAAATTTAGCGTCAGTTGTTTCCGGACTTGAAAATGATATCCACTAAAAATCTGTTAAAACCATTCTCATGAATTACTTATCCCATAGTTCTAGCATGAATGGTTACCTTATCAAATCAGAAGGTATCTAGGTTTGATGGTTTAACTACGAAACTTTCATTACCCTTTCAGACAATATCTACAGAGTTAAGTCCAAGTGAAGTGAGTTTATGAAATTCCTCATGAATGAAGTATTTGTCTCTCCTGGTGACTACTGTAACTGGCTGCTGTCGTGGATTTCCCTATGATTGTACTCGCCTGCATGGAAACTGGTCTTCTTGTCATCCCTATTTTTGACCCTTCTCTCCTGTCACCTATTTATTATTCATTGCTTGATAGATTGCATCCATATCAACATGTCGACTAACTGGAAACTGATTTGTCTTTGGGAACCCCAGGGATTCTCTGGGATACTTAATATCTCCTTTCTCTAATATATTTGCATCACCCCAGTCGATTTTGTCTCGGTAGTCGTCTCCGTGAATTGATAGGAACGAGTGTTTGCCACATCTTCGGATTACTAGCTTGTATTCATGTATGTGAAGATGAGTAGGATGGCCTCTCTGGCCAATATAGTTCATGCAATCTATTTCACAGTTGAAGTTTGTTTGACCATCTAGTACTGTCACCTTTTGATTTACACAGTATGGAGTGAAGCTGCTCCATTTTGAAGTAGAAGACATATTCCACACATAAAGTCATTACCTTTTTCAGCCAGTGATTTCTAAGTGAAACAAGATTAGGTTTGAAAGGAGTTAACGTTATTCAGAAGGAAAAACGAACCGATCTAAAAATCAATATTTGTTATTACTTGATGTGCATGTTGGATAGTTATACGTGTTAGAATTTTAAGAATCAGTCTTTGGGACTTCCAGTTACATGCCTCAAAATCCCCCACAATAGCTCAGATGTAGTCCTATTATCTTCTTCTAATCATTCAATCAGTACTTCATCGAAGTGTGTCAACCCAAAAAGATTTGAATTTGTTCAATTAATCAGTAATGCATTTCATTCTGATACACTGAACTTCTGAATCTCCTATGAAACCACCTTCGTTATGAAAATCTGGACCTAGCAGTGTCAACATGCTTCAACTCTTATCTGTCTCCTACATTTGTATTCAGTAATATAACGAAAGAAAACATTTACGTTTATAGGCAATGCAACGTTTTTAGGTAGCAGATGAGATATTTCTTCTGTGTCAACTAACCCCGCACTCATTCTTATGACTACATTTATTCAGAAGTCCATTTGTCCATTCCAGGTGAGACTTGGACTTGTAGAAACATAGTTTCGAAACCATTCTGTTTAATTTCTCCAGTTCACTACTATGGAAGAGCTTCATATGTCTCATAAACACCTCGCACAACTTTTGTGTATACTTCAACCGAATAGTATTTGGAAGTGGATATCAAATGTTTCGTCCATGAAGACTTAAGCTTGAAGGTGACTGCAAAACTAATCATCCCATTACAATTGCTCAGTGTATGAGCTAATGGGAAAGCCTCTAACAGTTTTCCTGAAGATATGTTTCTACCTATCAAATTCAAACACTGAATAGTAAACACAGTGCATAGAATGTGAAAGAATTACACGATTCAAACGCGAGTATCTCTAGCATTCGACATGTTCATTCCCCAACGAAATTAAGTCACAAATCGGTTGACTAATACATTTAAAGCACTGCATCGTGAAGTCAATATTTTCGGCAAGTGCCACTCCAATTCGTTTGGTTGGGGCTTGTCTGACGAATAAAATCTGTAGGCTAATCGACCATTATAGGAAGAAGAGAACTCGCATGATTTCACTGTCACCATGAAAATTGTTCTCTAGTATTTTACGTACTTCCACTTTAACTCTGTTAACCACAATAGTATCAGAACAATTCCAATATCGCTATTAAAAATGATCAAATTCTTTGACTATTTCACTTGAAAACACAACCAAATATCATTCAAATCTAATACATTAAGAGTAGAATATATATAAAACTACAAGAGTTAGTAGTCTTATTGGTTTAATTATAAAAAATACTTAAATACCCTAAAGTTGACAAATTTGTTGCATATAAATGAGAGGTGAAAAATCCCAAGCATCTTTGAAGTTGATGTGCAGCCATGTGATCGAAATAGGGTGAGTAGTAGTGAAATATTAAGGACACGAACATGAGTGAGAAGTAATATAGAGAGGTATACATTAAGAGTGTCAAATGAAACGAAATTCTAAGGATTAGATTGATTACCACATATAAAATGGTAGAGGAGGAGTAACAACAGCCACTTTCGGAATGCATGAGCTCAAGTTTCAACGTTCAGTGGTTACCGATCAAGTAGGATTTATATGTATGTGAATTATTCCAAATGATTTAAGAGCAGCATATACATTGCTACTAACTAACATGTATTGAGAGAATACAATTTTGCACTATTTTCAGCCACAAAGGAATCCTAATACGCTAACAAATCTGTATTTCTGTTCTTTCAATATATTTGCTCTTGCAAAAGTCATGCAAAGTGGAATATGGCTTTGGAGGCATTATGACAGAGGTGTGTAGTCTGTAACAATACGACTGTAAATTTTTTGTTGTTAGATGTTAAAGATGGAAACGATGTACGCAACTTTTGTTTAAAACGATTCATAGTGAAATATGCATAACTGCGGAGTACAATAAAAAATTCAGTTTGCTTCCCGCCGCTTCATATTCTAGCTAGTCGATACTGCCTACTTGTTTCACTACAAACCGTGTTGTATACTTTAGATTTCGCAGGAACATTTTATCTTCATCCGAAGACTGTTCTACAACCAGTTCACAGAACAACCAGTAGACAAGTCTTCAGCAGTGAACACTATTGTGGATTATATTAATAATTTGTAGTAGTGAACTTTAACTGTATAACTAAGGAACTGAATAATTTAAATGACTAATTCTGTATTTTTTATAACACACTGTTATACTATCATCTCATTAATTTGGATTTTTATTCAAATACCTGTTTTGTTACTGAGCTCGCTAGAAAGTTCCCTACAGAGGATACTGTCAACCTTAGAATGCTTCATCCAACTTTGAATATTTCAGTGCTACATTGTGAATGCCGTCTGTTAGTATGCGTTCGTACATTCCACCTCTTGGATCACACCAGCATTCACGTTACGTCAAAGTGATATGAAATTTATCTCAAACCCACTCTTTTGTGAGTGGTATATTGATTAAAATTCACATGTTTTGATACGGTTTCATCAACCACAGTGTTTATTTAGTGACAAATTACTACTCAACTTACTTGATATGTGAATACGTTTTCACAGTTTTAAAACTCCAATCATCTGGAAAGTGTTCGTAAGCATCAGCGAGAAAGTTACACATATTGGAAAGATGTAGGTCAGCAAAGAGTGCTGTTTCTGTAAATTATCATTGAAGCTGTCATTATCATTAAAGCTGTACTGTTGGATTGGATTTGCTAAAGGTCCCTGGAAATGCTCCTGTGAAGCCAGGTTCATAGGATTTAATAATAAGACACTACCTAAATATTCCTTTGTTGTTCTTGTCAATTCCTCATCAACGGACATATGAGCAGGTGGCTAGAATCTTTAACTAGATGCGTATTCCTTTTATTTTGATTTATGTAATGTGACTTCCAGAGTATTTTCATGATCTGATTTGTAGCAGATTTATGACAGATCTCTTTCATTTCTTTTCTTGAACTCCTAACCTTTTATTTAAAATTTTGTGTAGCTCAGGTGGATGATTTTGATATGGTTGTGTTCTCTGAGCTGGATAGTTAATTTGCGAATCTTCAAATTGAAGTATATGCTGGAGATGTCGCCTAGTAGGGCGATGAAAGCTTCGCAAATTAACTATCCAGCTCAGAGAACACAACCATGTCAAAATTTTGTGTATATGCCTAGCATATTTATATTGTAAATAATATTCTTCTCTTCAAGCATCAATCTTTCAATACTCATTTCAAAACGCTATTTGTCAATGAATCTTTCGGAATAGGCAAGATTATACAAATCAGGTTTCACGGCATGTCAATTCTTCATCTGACATACAGTTTAGTATATTTTATTTCTGTTTGTAATTCATTTCCACTGACGTTTTCCTTAACCTCTCAGAAACACCAAAAAGTAGTGAGCTACTACGGTGCAAAATAACGGATCATTTTATGAAGATAAGTGTCAATTACCACCCTCAATATGCCCATTATAATCAACTTATATAGTCGTCATTTTGTTTGCTCTGTTTGACAGTATATTTCTACATTTTTGTATAAAGTGAAATGGTAGATAGTTGTGTAAACAAACTGTTCGAAAACTGTTTTG